TACCACAACAAATATACTTATTTGGTGGTGGGGTAACAAGCTTGGGTTTCAAGCACTTTACACAGAAGTCATAAACAAACTCTTTACATTCGTGCATATATATCTAGCATATTTTTTGCCCGCTTTTTGAAACCCCTGTAATCCCCGAGGACCATTTTTTGGTGCCGTAGCTTTTACTGCGTTTTTGGAATTTCATTACTACGCGAATTTTATTAACTCAGGAAATCATGGGGTTAGGTCGGGTGAATCAGGACTGGTATGCCCTATACTACTTGCTAATTGTTATTACAATAAATGCTATGGTAACGAAACTTGGTACGATGGGTGAGACTTGTGTTGTCAGTCATCTGACCACGTGACATGGCGTGACGTGACATACCTGCGTGACTGCTTCTGTTAATGATAAAATAATGATGATATTACCCGGGAGTTTTTTATTTCTGAAAAAAATGTTTGATCGAAATTTTCCTAAGTGTCTTCGAATTAACCTTCGTATTCTGTGCTGAGGAAACAGCGAAAGGGAAAATATAGATCTTTTATCATTAACAGAAGCGCTTGACTATTCTAAATAAAGTAAGAATACTTTCAATGGGCAAAGGTGTGTTTATTTGACGATTTTTTTCAACAATCAAAAACTCCCGGGAATCTAGTATTTCGAAATTGGTTCCCAGGTGCCGGGTATCTAGACACTTCGTATTTTCAACGTTATGATTCCGTGACCCCCTTTTCCATGTTTTATAAATATATGTACTTTAATGTTCTACTTGTTATGGCACCTTTTAGGAGTAGCTCTCTGCATATATCGCTTATCTTCGTAGTCCCATAGTTGTCTTTTAACATACGTATACATAGAAGGTCCTTCTTCAGGAAATAACTTATCATTCATTGAATTTACAGGCAGTTCCTTGGCAATCCATGCCGGTCTTGGTGTTATACTAGTGGCAGCCTTTCCYCCATGACCAAGAGWTTCATCAGAATGTTCCCGAAGATGGCGATAGTCCCAGACCGTCTTGGCACGAATCTGTACACTCTTGAGTTTCTCGTGGTTCAGATTGAACGGACGAACTCGGTATTCGTAACCCATTCGTGAGTGAATTCGACGAATATCAGGCAGAAAAGCGTCTAGTAACCTTTCACGATTTTGAACACTGATTGGCCCCAAGTCTAATGCAGAGCTACAAGATTTCATCGACTGAGTACCTGCCGATCGTTTATCACACGCTCTTGTCGGTGATTGTTTGCTATATGGGCATTAATTGGTACAGAGTTGGCCCTTAGTTTCCAAGGATTGTCTTGGATCTGTACAGTTCGTTCTGGGTAAGATGAAGTACATGCTGTCGGCGGTTGTACCATTATTACAACGATTAATATTCGTATAAAGCTCGACTATTAGTGTAGTAGTCGTAAACAAAGCTATCGATATATACAACACACTTATGTCAAACACCTTTCATGAAATAGCTTTGTTGTTACGGTTCCTGAAGTTCCTAAAGCTCTTGACGACCTTACCTACACGTTTGTTTTGAATGGTTTCACTTCATTCACGTAGAAAGAAAAGAAGATAGCCGCTTGACAGGCGACGAGTAGAGAATCGCAGCTGCATTCGTCTGTTGTCTACGATACGAAGGAATCAAGCCGGCTTAACGCACTTAATAATCAATATCCATCTTTAATCAAGAAACCATAACAGCTTTTGTGTTGCTTTATTGCGATCCTCCCAGGAGAATTGTCTTACTGTTGCTAAGCAACGGTAGCTGAATTTATTTAACCACAGTCTTACAAACCACTTGAAGGAAATAAAAGATATAGGGCCTTAATGAGATGAATAAAAGCTAAGTTCGAGATGAATAAAAGCAGAGTTCTTTTCTTTTGTAACGGTGGAAGTAGTGTTATAGGTCGATAATTACCCCGGTTTTTCCGCCTGAATTGCGCCTGAAATGCGCCTGAACCGATCACGATCCTGATTGGTCCGCTCAATAAGCAGGAAATGACGTCAAGATGGCGCCTGAACTCATTTGCATTGCGCCTGAATTGAAATAGATTTCTATTGGTCCGCCTGAACAGTTTGAAATGTATGACGTTACAATTTATTAGCATTGCGCCTGAACCGCAAGTAATTATATGTTGAAAGGAGCAATCTTTATCATTCTTCCTCTCCTC